TGTGTATATGTGGTGTGTGTGTGTGTGTGTGTGTGTGTGTGTGTGTGTGTGTGTGTGTGTGTGTGTGTGTGTGCGCCTGGGGGTGGGGGGATTCTTGTGGAAGCACTGTGTAGTCACAGCAGCAACTTGGTGAATAAGGGACTGCCGTGTGTATGGTGCAGCCTGAGTGAGTCTAACCACTGGATCAACGGACTGAGTGGGAGGTGGTATTGTTGATGCCCTTGCCACAGTTGGTGACACTGAGACTAGATGCACGACGGACTTCCACTTGCCTCTGTGTGTGATGGACACCCTGTCCGCTGAATGAATTAAACAGAAAGAGTTCTAATCCTGAAGGAATCAGTGTGTCGTAATTATTCTCAATGCAATTGTTACTCTTGTAGTGCTTTCTTTCCGCAATGTTCTGAAGGCTATCGAACTCCCTAGATTTGAAAGTGTCATAAACATTGTAGGGTGCTGCATTTTGCAACTGAATCCCAGGAGACCCCTAAACCACTCAGTCTCAACATGACACCACTGAATGCCAATCCATTTAACCTGTTGTGCTGTAACAGTACCATTGCAATACAACACAATTATACCCCAAATAAACCTGCCACGTTCGGACCTTTTCTATGCTCTGCATCGAAGTCTTGACTAAGGTTTCTGTTAGTACTGAAAAAGGCAGCAGCATCAAGGAAAAAAAAAAAAAAAAGCAGCAAGAAAAAAGTTAAAAAAAGTTAAAAAAAGTGATATTATTATTCCAGGTATTCTGGCTAAACTGCATGCATGCTCCTGGAACTCCACAGGTGCTTAGCAGTTTATGCTTTTATTTTGAGAGTGTATCCAGATTACATAACGTATTTCGCAAATTTGTGAGGTTAGGAAAAGCTGTATCTGGTCAAATTGCTTTACGATCCACATTGCATTTGAAGGAATTCGACAGAGTTTTTGAATCATTGACTTCTAATCATTGCTTGAATCAGTGCTTAGTTGCGTGATCAAAGAGGATGATAGTAAAACTTGCATAGATGTTTCCTGTTTCATCTTTTTAAAATAAAAGGGATGCTTCTAAGAATGTTGTGTATTGATTTGATTGCATCAGGATCTGACCCCACGATCTGTTTATGAAACAAGGTACTTACTTGTGTGTACCATTCACCCACAGGGCAGGTTCCATTGGTGCGGCGTCAAACATTGTGCCTCTCTCTCTCTCTCTCTCTCTCTCTCTCTCTCTCTCTCTCTCTCTCTCTCTCTCTCTCTCTCTCTCTCTGTGTGTCTGTGTGTGTGTGTGTGTNTGTGTGTGTGTGTGTGTGTGTGTGTGTGTGTGTGTGTGTGTGTGTGTGTGTGTTCTGGCCGAACGGGGTGTCCCTCCTTTGCTGGCTTGAAAAGCCGACTTGTCCCACTGACATGGTTATGTTTTGTGGTTTCTTTGTCCATTTTTAAAATGGTCTCATGTCATCTTGTGCAGGTCCGCGCCGCTGTTGATAGACATGAGGACAGGTGCACTATTGCAATCGAGATTGATGACAGTGAAATGTTGTCCCTGGATCGTGATGCGGATCTCTTCATGAACTGGGTCGGTGATTGCGCTACTTTGGTTATCCATTCTGTACGCGTTGACATGCACATCTATGTTGTGTTTCCTTGTTAGAAACAAGTCTGTGCGGAGTCGTAGGCGACACTGTCGAAGTTGTATCTGGCAAATACAGTTAAAGCAAATAATTTGTTATATAATTTCGTATTGACTTTGTGCAAGTTGTGTTGAAAAATGGGAGCACAATCTTTTGCTGCTGTTGTTCAGAAGAGACAGAGAACATTTGTTTTTCTCCATTGATAGATGATGTCTAAGTCAGTCTAATCTTGATGTGGCTTGTGCATTTGCCAGGCCCGAATCTATAGTCTATACGCGAACTTGGGCTTGCACGACTGCCCTTGATGGGGGATTTTGATCTTAAGCTGGAAACTCTGAGCGATCCCCAATACAATATGCTGATGTGCTGTGGATGCATGGTGGATAAGGTCTACCATCCTCAGCTTATTTTATGACTTATACTTGACTGTATGAGACAGATCGAAGGTAGAATAGTCTGAATGGGCTATCTATTTCCCAATAATAGCCCAGCATAATCGAGCGGTTGTGGTAGATCTTTCTAGGCTATTTATTTCCCAACAGCTGCAAGCAGCCCAGGAAATATCTGGGCTAGTTCCATTTAAACAACCCTGAAAAAGGCTGAATATCCAGTGTGTTATAAGTTCCTAGAATTGTAGTGTGTTTCCCAGCAGCCCAGAAATAGTGACTCAGAAATATCAGCTTCAGATATATCGGCCCACAAATTGCAGCCCAGGAATGGAAACCCCAGAAATAGCGGGGTCTATTGACTCTGCCGAAGACCCCTCTATTTCTGGGCTATAAGGAAAAATAAGTTTGCTGTGGGGATTGCTGTAAATCGTTTTTTCAACTTTTTTTACCATTTGAGAAAAGGAAGTTCCTTGGCCATTTGAGAAAATGAAGTTCCGACCAAGAATCGGGAAACGATTAGGAGGAAGGATTTCCCAAAGGAAATGAGAACACAACGAAGAATTATGGGTTCCCCGCCCCCAAAAGAAAAAAAAAAAGAATAAAAAAATTCCTTTTTGGATACTTCTGTGGAGTTATAAGAGTGTGTGCTTCTCATGCTGTCCTGATCCCATGTCATACAGCCAGGTGTTGTGTGTGTGTGTGGATGCCACCTTGCCCTTTGCTAGCCGTGTATAGCCCGGGGAGATTTCTACGCGCGTGGATTTCTTGTCTTGGACTGTAGATTATGATGAGGATTGATGGCCACAAATACAGAATAGTAATGTTTCCACAAAGAGAGAAAGGTAGGGTGTGTATGGTTTGGCATATAGCGAATGTGAAAACATATATGGATTCTCTTGGACTTTCAAATGCACGTGTACATGGGCAGGCAGGGGTTTTTGTTGGAGATCACTCAGAAAGCTGATCTCGATTTAGGGAGGGTTTTACGTGGACCCTACATCGGCCCCTGCGGTTAAATGTACCTAACTATGGCAGAGCCTCTATCAACTCCCTCCTCCTTATCTTGCGGAGCTGACATCTTCCTTTACCAGTGAGGCCTGCCAAAAAGGTGAGGTCCATGTCAGTTCCTCCCCCTCCCCCCTCCCCCCCCATTTCTGCGGCTCACTGCAGTGGCCCCCTCGATCCTCCACTTTGGGGCGGCTTAGTGAAGGGAGTCGAGATGGGTGGGACTGTTACCTCGGGAAACCTGGGGTGTTGGGAATGGGATGGCCAACACCTGCCCAGAACCTGTTTGGAACTGCTAATAATTTGAGGAGACTTCTTTTATGCTTCTTGTGTCTTTTTCCTTCTGATGCTTTGAATGGTTGAATCTCACGGTTGTATGCCTGTTGTTGTGGGCACAGGGGCTGTTTCGTGCAGATTGCGATGCATGGGTGGTTTTGGATGAAGCCGACTCTCCACCTGGCACGGTGCCTGTTGCCGGCGAGTATGTTGAATTTGCTTCCGTCACTCTTGTCCCTGCCTTCAGTGTGGGAGATAAGGCCATGTCAATGTATCGGCTTTATCTGCTCTTCTCTGCTTCTCCATCTCTGTCTGCTTTTTCACCCGGTCCGGCTCCGTTTCATCTCTCTGCTCCGTTCTTCATCTCTCTGCTCCGTCTGGTGTATCTGATCCATCTGGTCCATCTGCACTGCCTGATGCATTTGCTTGACCGTCTGCACTTCCAGTATTGGTCCTTGGGCTTCGGATGGTGTGTGATACCGGTCAGAGCGGGTTGCATTATGTCATCTGACACTGCATATGCCTGCCAAGAGGTGTAGGGTGACACCAATTTATCCTATCAGTGCTTTTATTCTTATCACATATTATGCAGCAAACCGAATTCTGTAGGGAGCGGTTGTGGATAGTTGCAAAAGAAGAAAAGGACGGGGTAATTGCTTTCGCTTCTCCCCCGAGCTGAAACGCAATGTAGAACCCATCCCGCCCGGGCCGTTCCCTCTCTCGTCTAGTGTACATGCCTCTCTCTCTCTCTCTCTCTCTCTCTCTCTCTCTCTCTCTCTCTCTCTCTCTCTCTCTCTCTCTCTCTCTCTCTCTCTCTCTCTCTCT